GCCCGCACCTTACGGTCTTTATCCGAGGAGAAATTCGAAACGTGTAACTGTCGTCACTTTTGGGCCCCTGTGGCGAGAATCTGGCGGTAGTATCAGGCAGGAACCTCGTCTGTGAGTGAATTGCGAGGAAGTCTCAGGCGGGGAGCCCCTCCCTATGGGGCCCGCGCCTCATTCCCCACATCCAAAGTGGGGTTATTGTTTTCTCTGCACACGCCGCGCAGGATCTCACCCCCCCTTTTCCTCTTTCTCTTTTTTTTTTTTGTCTCTCTCTCTCTCTCTCTCTTTCACACTCTCACCACCATCATCATCACCATCAACCCCCATCATCGTCATCACACGCATACACTCATCATCATTACCATCATCATCGCCATCAACCAACATCACCGCCATCACTACTCATCATCACAACCCTTCATCATTACTCATCATCATAATCCTCATCATCATCATCGTCACCATCATCACCACTCGATCACCCACTCACTCACTCAATTACTCACTCATCCTCAGTTGGCTTCGGAGGCAGTGGTCCTCCGACGGTAGGACCGCCGCCACTCTCAACATCATCGTCACCATCTCCATCATAATCATTCGGCCACCCACTCAGTGGCCATCATGGTCATCATCGGCATCATCATCACTCATTCATCACACCATCATCATCATTCACTCACTCATCATGTTGTCATCACTCACTCCCTGGCTTGAATTTGGAGGTAGTATCAGGCTGGAGCCTCGTCTGTGAGTGAATTGTGAGGAAGTCTCAGACGGGAACCCCTCCCTATTGGGCCCGCACCTCACGTTTCTACTCCGAGGCGGGTCATTCGAAATGTGTAACTGTCCTCACTTTTGGGCCCCTGTGGCGAGAATCTGGAGGAAGTATCAGGCAGGAGCCTCGTCTGTGAGTGAATTGTGAGGAAGTCTCGGGCGGGAAGCCCCTCCCTATGGGGCCCGCGCCTCATGTTTTCCCCACATCCAAAGTGGGGCTCTTGTTTTCTCTGCACACGCCGCGCCGGATCTCACCCCCCCCTTTCCTCTCTGTCTCTCTCTCTCTTTGTCTCTCTCTCTTTCTCTCTCTCACACACTCACCATCATCACCATCAGCATCACCGTCGACCACCATCATCGTCATAACACGCACACACTCATCATCATTACCATCATCATAACCATCAACCACCATCACCGTCATCACTACTCATCATCATAAGCCTCGACCGCTACTCATCATCATAATCCTCATCATCATCATCATCGTCACCATCATCACCACTCGATCACCCACTCACTCACTCAATTACTCACTCATCCTCAGTCGGCTTCGGAGGCAGTGGTCCTCCGACGGTAGGACCGCCGCCACTCTCAACATCATCGTCACCATCTCCATAATCTGTCGACCACCCACTCAGTGGCCATCACGACCATCATCAACATCATCATCACTCATTCATCACACACTCAACATCATATCCTCATCATCATCGTCATCATCATCATCATCATCATTCACTCACTCACTCATCATTTCGTCATCACTCACTCCCTGGCTTGAATATGGAGGTCGTATCAGGCGGGAGCCTCGTCTGTGACTGAATTGTGAGGAAGTCTCAGGCGGGAGCCCCTCCCTATGGGGCCCGCACTTCATGTTTTTAATCCGAGGCGGGTCATTCGAAACGTGTAACTGTCGTCACTTTTGGGCCCCTGTGGCGAGAATCTGGAGGAAATATCAAGCGGGAGCCTCGTCCGTGAGTGAATTGCGACGAAGTCTCAGGCGGGAAACCTCTCCCTATGGGGCCCGCACCTCATGTTTTTAATCGGAGGCGGTTCATCCGAATTGAATATGGAGGTACTATCAGGCGGGAGCCTCGTCTGTGAGTGAATTGTGAGGAAGTCTCAGGCGGGAACCCCTCCCTATGGGGCCCGCACCTCATGTTTTGAATCCGAGGCGGGTCATTCGAAACGTGTAATTGTCGTCACTCTTTGGCCCCTTGTGGCGAGAATCTGGAGGAAGTATCCAGCGGGAGCCTCGTGTGTGAGTGAATTGCGACGAAGTCTCCCGCGGGAAGCCTCTCCCTAAGGGGCCCGCGCCTCATGTTTTTAATCCGAGGCGGGTCGTCCGAAACGTGTAACCGTCGTCACTTTTCGGCCCTTGCGGCGTGAATCTGGAGGAAATATCAAGCGGGAACCTCGTCTGTGAGTGAATTGCGACGAAGTCTCAGGCGGGAAGCCTCTCCTTATGGGGCCCGCACCTCATGTTTTTAATCCGAGGCGGGTCATCCGAAACGTGTAACTGTCGTCACTTTTGGCCTCCGGAGGGCTTGAATAAAGAGGATGTTTTAGGGGGGGGTCTCGTCTGTGAGTGACTCGCGAGGAAATCACAGGCGGGAGCCCGCCGGTCTGTCCCCGCGGGAGTCCCCGCGCTGAGCCAGGTCGAAGCATGCGAGCTGGAGCTGAGGCGCAGGAGGAGGAGGAGGAGGAGGAGGAGGAGGAGGAGGAGGAACACGAGGAGGAACACGAGGAGAACGAGGAGAACGAGGAACAGGAATTGAGGAGGACGACGGCGGCAGGGCGCAGGGGGAAACCTTTGCGTCCGGGCCGGGGGTGGTAACCCATCCTCGGCCGAAGCGGCGGCCAGGCGCAGGGGGAAACCCTTGCGTCCGGGCCGGGGGTGGTAACCCATCCTCGGCCGAATCGGGTGCAGGGGTAACCCCTTGTCTCCGGGCCGCCGGTGGTAACTCATCGGCGGCCGAATCGGGCGCAGGGGTAGCCCCTTGCGTCCGGATTGGCGGTGGTAACCCATCGTCAGCCGGGACTACGAGGAGTGCGCGCCGGGCCAGCTCTTCCGCCCCCGCTACCTACCGCAGGGAATCTGGCTGCAGGCGCACGGCTGCCAGGAGTCCCCGATCTACAAGGAGGTCGCCGAGGTGCTGCAGCAGGGCGCCGACGGCGCTGCCGACGACGCCGAGGCCGAAGCGCGGGCGAGGAGCTTGCTCATGTTCAGGCCCAGCGAGCAGGAGCTCGCGTGGCGAAGCTCGGGGGCGCACACTGCGCGCCGTTCGGGGTCCACCCTGACGCATGCGTCCTACCTGACTTCCGCGCTGTCGCAGGGCCAGACGCTGCGCAAGGGCGTCACCATCGACTGCGCCAGGCCGCCAGGGATGAGGACGCTGGCCGCACGGGCATGTCGGACGAGATGTGGTGGGTGCACCTCTGCGTCATGTTCTCCCGCGCCACGTGCATGCGGAACATGCTGATCCTGCGGCCGCCCGCGCGAGAGTTCCTGGAGCGCGGGCCGCCGGCGCCGCTGCGGAAGGCGCTCCAGGAGTTCGACAGGAGAGCGGTGGACATCAGGGCTGAGGCGGAGCAGCTCGCGGCAGAGCTGGGCTCCGTGCTGCCACCCGCCTGGGCGTCGCGGCGCGCACCTGGAGGCCCGCGGGGTTGTCCCGGCGGCTGGCTCCCGCGCCCCCGCGGCCTGCGAGGTTGTCCTCGCGGCCTGGCCCGAAGGGTTGCCTCGACGGCTTCGCGATCTAGCCGTCGGCAAACGCGCGCGCGCTGGCCGACGCGGCGACGGCGCCGAGGAAAATCGAGCCGCTTGCCACGACCAGGGGGAACGGGGGGTGCGCATGGAGAAGAGGCAGGGGGATGAAGGGGAAGGGGCATTGGGGAGGGCGACGAGGAGGAGGTGGCGCGAGAGGAGGGGGGGGGGGGGGAAGGAGGAGGAGGAGGAAAAGGAGGAAGATAAATAGTAGGAGGAAGAGAGGGCAGTGAAGAGGGCAAGAGGAGAGGATATCCGCCAGGGGGAGGAGGAAAGGGCAAAGGGTAAACTAAACAGGGTTCCGCGCGGGGTCCTACCGTCGGAGTAATTTTTACCGCCCTGACCCCCCCATCCACCCCCACTCTAAACCGGACCTCCCCCCCCAGGACACCCCCGACGCCCATGCCCTCCACCCAGCGAACGCCCTGGGCGCCCCTTCGGACTCCCAGCGGCCTTCCGGGCAGTTGGACGCCCCTGCCGATCGGAGCCCGCGGGCCTAAAACGGGCCCCAAGACGGCCCATCAGCGCTCAAAGAAGACCCTATATGGTTTCAAGGCGGCCCACGAGGCGCCCAAGACGGTCCAAGAGGCCCAGAAGGGACCCCCAAGAGCAACACATCGTCCCATTCCCTGAGGAAACGTACGCTTTTGAAGATATAGCTTTTTCCGCGTGCACAGCGTCCACACCCAGGGCAGCGTTTCGTGGCCTCATAAGGAACTCCGCCGGTGGCCCCAGTGGGGGGGGTCGCATTCGGTTCCCCCACCCAGGGCAGCGTTTCGTGGCCCCATAGGGAGCTCCGCCGATGGCCCCAGTGGAGGGGGTCGCATGCGGTTCCCCCACCCAGGGCAGCGCTTCGTGGCCCCATAGGGAGCTCCGCCGATGGCCCCAGTGGGGGAGGTCGCATGCTCTCCCCCACCCAGGGCAGCGCTTCGTAGCCCCATAGGGAGCTCCGCCGATGGCTCCAGTGGGGGGGGTCGCGTGCGGTTCCCCCGCCCAGGGCAGCGCTTCGTGGTCCCATAGGGAACTCCACCGAAGGCCTCAGTGGGGGTGCCCGTATGCCCTTCCCCACCCAGGGCAGCGCTTCGTGGCCCCATGGGGAGCTCCGCCGAAGGCCCCAGTGGGGGTGTTCGCATGCGGTTCCCGCACCCAAGGCAGCGTTTCGTGTCCCCATAGGGAACCCCACCGAATGCGTTGCTCACAAAGACGGTATTCACAACAGCATATGGTTGGGTCCTTCGCCAGGCTAATGTGTTTTGTTTGTTGTCTCTCTCTCTCTCTCTCTCTCCCCCTCTTTTTTTCACCAATCTCTATGTATATGTGCTTTCTCTCTCTCTCGATGTATCTCTTTCTCTCCCTGGGTCTCCCTCTCCCTCTCTCTCGCACCTCGTTACCGCCGCCTCCTGATCCTCCTCGTTCTCGACCTCTCTCCCTCGTTCTTCCCTTCCCTCTTGCTCTGCCCGAGGTGATCAGAGCTCTGGGCGTCGGCCAGTGGAGCGACGTCGTCTCCTCGCCCCATGGGGTGCGACGGCAGTAATGATTGGAGGAGGGGGAGGAGAAGGAGAGGGTCGATGCTTCATGCTGGTGCTGATGCTGATGCGGGTGGTTGATAAGGGTGATAGTGGTTGTGGTGATGGTGAGCGTGATGGTGTTGATGATCATAACGGTGGTGCTTGTGGTGCTGGTGCTGACGCTGATGGTACTGTTGTCGATACTGCGGCTGTCGGTGATTTTGATGATGTTGTAGTTGTTGTTGATGGTGGTGATGATGGTGCTGATGATGCTGATGATGCTGATGGTGCTGATGATGATGGTGATGCTGGCGATGGTGCAAATGATGATAAGTATGCAGGCGATGTTGATGATGATTGTGATGATGCGGATGTTGTCGATGCTGATGATGATGAAGCTGATGATGCTGATGATGATGACAGACGGTGATGTGCTGCTTACGATGCTGGCGATGACGACGACGAGGACGACGATGACGTTGATCATGATTATGTTGCTGTTGGTGATGATGCTTGTGATGGCGGTTGTGATTGTGAGGGTGACGACGACGATGACGATGATGCTGATGATGATGAAGTTGATGGCGATGCCGATGACGATGATGATGAGTATGCTGATGATGATGCTGATGCGGACGATGATCATGATTATGGTGACGATGATTGTGATGACTGTGAGGCTCATGATGACGATGCTGATGCCGATGCCGATGCTGATGCTGATGATGGCGACCATGCTGCTACTGCTGATGATGATTATGCAGCTGGCGATGATGCTGATGATGATGACGCTGGGAATGCTGATGGTGATGATGGTGGGTATGATGACGATGCTAATGATGATGGTGATAATGATGATGCTGATCGTTGTGATGCTGATGATGATGATGCTGATGATGATGATTATGATGTCTGATGGCTGACGATGGCGAGAAGAATTTGGAAGATTGGGTCAGCTGGATTATGCGCTCGACGCGCGCAGCGGTCAAGGTTAGCCGGGAGCACGGTGTTCGCAATTGGGTTGAAGAAATTTCGAAACGAAAGTTTCAGTGGGCAGGACATGTTGCAAGACGGACCGACGGCCGTTGGACGAAGGTTATGCTGGATTGGTCTTTGACAGGTTGCAGAGCGCAGGCGAGGCCCTTAACGCGCTGGTGCGATAGTTTGAGCAAGTTCTTCACAGGCACAGCAGGGAGGCCGGTTGGCGGTTCCTCTTGGATCGCAGCCGCACAAGACCGGGACTATTGGAAACAGATGGAGGATGATTACATTGAGTTCTGCAGGCGGTGAGCATGGCATCCACGGCTGCCAACAGTCGAGCCCTGTTTGGGGGCACGTGGCAGTGCGCGTCGCGCACGCCCCGTACTCGACTTCCGTTCCGTCCGTTCCGTTCCGATGGCTGACGATGATGATGGTGCTGATGCTGATGATGATGATGACTGATGATGATGATGCTGCTGATGCTGATCAGGAGGCTGATGATGATGGTGATGATGATGGTGATGCTGGTGTTGATGCTGATGATGATAATGACGATGATGATGATGACGATGATGGTGTTGACGATGCTGATTACGCCGATGATGATGATGATGATGATGATGATGATGACGATGCCGATGATACTGATGATCATGATGATGATGATCAGAAGGAGGAGGAGGAAGAGGATGATGATGATCGCTGTGATGTTGATGCTGATGATGGTGATGATAATGGTGATGATGTCGATGATCCTGACGGCTGATTGTTGATGGTTGACGATGATGTTGCTGCTGATGCTGATCAGGATCATGATTTTGCTAATGATGATGGTAATTATGATGATGGTGATTATGATGATGATGCTGATGATGATGATGGTGATGGTAATGCTGATGCTGTTTGTGCTGGTGACGTTGATAATGATGATGATGACGATGGTGGTGGTGGTGATGATGAGGATGGTGATGATGGTGATGATGATGCTGCTGATTATGATGATGATGATCATCATCATCACGATTATGCAGATGATGCAGCGGATGATGATTATGATTGTCTTCTAGCTAGCTATGTTTGCGTCTGGAGGGGCCTCGTCGCTACGGCTGGCTTCGCCCCGAAAGCATAATCACAATGTGCGTATGGAGAGGCCCGCGGGATCGAATTGGATTGGATCGCATCGGCTCTTCACGATGGTAGGGGTCCCTATCAGCCGGGCGAGTGTCGAGCCCATCTTGGCCCGAGAGTCGAAGTGGACCCCAGCAGGGGCCAGGGCGGAACCCATGGACCAACGCCACAGAGCAAGAAACTCAAACTGAAACATTTTAGAAGGCGTTAACATTTCGCTGTACCTCCTTCATCCTGCCTTTACCCAACCTCTGGAGGAGGAGCCGACTGCGCGCAGCAGGAGGCGGTGGAGCCGGAGAAATTGTTGTCATGGTGAGGCAGGGACATGGTGGTTTCAGGTTTATGGGAAGGCTCCGAGGGAACATCTTAGAAAGCAGCAGTATGCCCTTGTTCTCATGTAGCACAACCGCTGAATGTCTCGCTCCGCTTTGGGGCCATGGCTTAGCATATTGTGCAGCGTTCCGGGTGTGTGGTGTCTACGACAGTTGGCTCGCTCCTGGCTCCGAATGGCGCGTGCTCAGGCTCGCCCTAGGTGCGACACCCGGTTGGCCGAACTGGTGCAGGTGATGTTCGAGTTGGTGCGGACCCAATTTGACATAGGTTTTCACCACCAGTGCAGTCACGTCGTGCACCCTTGGAGTACACTTGCCGACGACATTGCGCACGCCACGGCGTGAACAAGCTCGACCCCCACCCTCTCGCTCCCCCATGTTATTGCCCATGCTTTTCACGCCGCGCCCAGCCTAAAGCGGAAACTTGTTCGCCCAAGCTGGCTCAGATGTTGCTTGGAACGAGAGAATCAGCTCCCGAGTAAGTAGCAGGTGCTCGATGGGCAAGTTGAGCGCTTTATGCCCCCCCCACCTCAAAATCCGAAGCAAGTGGTCATCAACCTTAAACAGTGTGCAGGTATATAACGCCCACGCGGTGCAGGTTGCCAAAAGATGGGGAAGCCTGGAGAAAATAAGCACCAACTCGTGGCCTTGATTAAGGAGCATACGTATGCACGATTAAGGCATCCACCTAGTATGCATTCAGGAGGGGAAACATGAGAGGGCCGTGCGAGGGTGGACTAGCGGGGTCCACGCGGCTGTCGGCGGGGCATGAGCTGGACAATCTGGGGGTGGAGTTGTGGGTGGACGTTCAGCTGCCATACAGTCGCATTCAGGATGAGCACCTCCCTTGCACTTTTCTGGTCCGACTTTGCCGAATCCACTAGTGCCAGCGCCACTTTCGGGGAGCTTCTGCCGAGATGGGTAGGCTGGGCGACCGCAGGCCCAGAGCTCTAATGGCGAGTTTCCCTGCGCTTCTTCTGCACGAGCAGCGTCTCATGTCCACCAGCACCTTCCCAGGACCCGAGGATGACACCACGCGCATCCCTCGAAAGGTCAATCGTGAACGGAACAAGTACGTGTTGCTCACGGAGCTCGAGACCCCATTCGCGATTAGTGCTGCTGTTCTGTAAAGCCCCGAGCCGGGAAAAGCATAGGGACCACTTCCCCGTCGCTTGCGACCTCCCATGGACGGCTCGGGTTTCACGTCCAAAGAACGGGGGGTTAGATTCGACGGGGAAAGCTCCAACACCCCCTTCCGATGCACATGCTCGATCGCGCTTTCGAGGCCCCCCCATCCCACATTGGAAGATTGACTCGGACACCCACAAGGCTATCGTAGAATCCGTGTTTCAGTCACAGGCCCAACAGTATCCGACCAAGGCAACATTCTCATAAGAGGATTTAATGTTTAGACTTGTCCGTGTTAGGCGAGCGGTGCGCACTGTATCGTACGGAACCAGCCACTCTCTCTCAGGTCAGGCGCGTCGCTTCTCGTTTGCGCAGCATGGTCGCTGCTTGGGTTGCGCTAGTTTTGAAGGAGACGTTTCCTCCAGCTCTCATGTTCCGCCAGCTCAGCAACGAGTTCGCCGTCGCGCTAGACGACTTCACGTGGCAGCGTATCCCTCCTGAGGAATGTTACAACATTCTGTGGGGTTCGTGAGGGCCGCGCACCCGGTGCAACATGAGCTGCTGGACAGTGATACGGCTTGTCCTGGAAGGCGAGGTGAGAACATCTCAATGAGCATGGCCAGCCAGTTTCAAGCAAGGGTGCGCTCAAGCGAGGACTTCGCTTTGCATGGGTGGCAACCACAAAAACGAATGCGTGTTTCACCTGCGCCTTGACCGCCGGGGTAATATGTTCGACGCGCCGGCTAAAGCCGCGGCCGACTATGAAGAGTTCTCTGCGATATTAGAATGCCGCGGAGCTGTTGCTTAAGGAGGCCGGTCGCGTTTACAACCGGGGTCTGGCGTTTGCCCCTGTTGCCCCACGTAGCCCCCAGCACATTCGTACGTGAGCGTGCAGCTGGCTGTCAACAAGTTGCCAGTTGATGAAGCTGTAGGGCCTGATTCTTGGTGAGAGGCCGTTGCAGTTCGAACGAACGGGCATGGCTGCGATTGCCAAGGGTGAAGACCGCGAGGATGACGAGAGGTATGCTGGCAGCAGGAGGAGTATCATGTCGTGTAATGTTTCGGTCAAGCTGCTGCGGTGATCGCCACGGTTCTCGAAACAGCCAATTAGAGTGGAGAAGGGCACGGCGCGGACCTGGCAGCCCATTGTCTCTTGTCCAAGTCGCGGGCGCTCCGCGCTGCCTGGCGCTCAGATTTTGTGAGCTTCCATGATGTAATGACGGCCTTGTATTCGGTCGTCCGTCAATGAATCTTGGCTCTCCCCTCCGGAAGCCAGCAATTTCCTCGACCTCATTCAGTCTCGCGCCTTGCACCTGGCCCCCAAGTATGCCTTGGGCAATCTTGGGCCCAGGGGGCTGCTGGACAGGGCGGTGCCACGTGAGAGCCTGAGGCAGCTCCTGGCCGAGAGCCAATCTCCTTGTTTTGCCAGTTCCCGAATACCG